GTCCGAATCACTTGGGCCCTTTCAGCCAACTCGATGCAAGGGGTTCCGATTTTGGATCCCCCTTCTGCTTTCACATTTCGGTGTGCTCTTGTCCGGTCCCTCGGACTCGTAACAGCCTTGCGCCTTGAACGGCTGCATTGTAGGCCACATGGCTTTCCGAGCTGCAGCGGTGATCCATCGCCGGGATTGCCCAGCTTGGGCATTGCTGCGGATGCTCCATTCATCTGAGAAGCTTTGGCTCGTAACGGAAGGCGGTTGACTCGTTGAGGGGCAAAGGCGTGGTCCGCCCTGCAGGGTGTGCTCCTGTCATTGTGCATACTGGCACTTGGATACTATGTACTGGAGCAACGGGGGGGGGAATCTCTGCGTTGCCGCCGCTGCAGCTCTTGCAGCCTTTTCGAGATGTCACCGCTTTTTATCGACCCTCTAGTTATCTGCTGTATCCCCCACAGACCCGAGGCCTGGAGGGGCGTTCTGGCTTGTGGCTCTGCAGGGCGGTGACGAGGCTTGCAAGCCATACCCAACTAACATGCATGCACGGCATGGCCCAGTACGAATGATAATAAGCGGTGCATCATCTTCATCTTGTCTTTGCTCATCAATACCGTGTTTCTTGGTTTCCCAAAAAGAGCCCTGCAAACCTAGTTTTAGCTTGCTCCAGTCCCTCCACCGAACGATGGCGGCCTTGTCAAGACCGGCATGGCCGCTCTTTTAGAGGGAGATGTTAGTCAGAGAATGGCAACGGCGGCCACCGGCCATCTAACTAGCGTCGAGTGGAAATGGCGCAGCATGAGGTGGTCATTGTCGGGCAAGCTTTCTGTGAAACCTTGCTTGGGAGGGAAGAGGAAATTGATTCGCTTAGGCTCTCGCTTCGGTTGCGATATTGTGTCGTGGTAGGCTAGAACCGCAGCCAGACTCGTAGATTGTGCTGTGATACGGAGTACTGGGTATTAGGTGGTTATTGGTACGGATTAGTTGCTGGGTAATAATACAGTCTGCGTCGGCAACTGTATGGCTTTTTTTTTTTCGCCCCCAAAAACCCCTCAATTAGTTGAGGGTGTTGAGGGTGTGAAGGCAAGAAACCTGACGGCGTGCTTTGTGTCTTTGGGGGTGGTGTGTGCCGAAGGTGCACAGGCTCAAGTCAACCCATGTTCGCTTATGTGTACTCCGTACTCGGTAGGGAGTATGATACCAGCATTGCTGTTGTTATTGATTCGCTCGTTGTCAGATGTAGAAGCTCGGTCGAAGATGGCAGCGACTGAACCGAGGACTTGGCATACCCCTGGCAGCTCTCCTGGTGCGTTCTGGAATATCCGTCATCTGCCTAGGTAGGTACTGAGTATGGCTGCTTCCTGTCAGGGTCATTTCCACACCCGCAGCCCCGATTTAACAAACGGCCCTTTCTCAAGGCTGAAGCTAGAGTGAGGCGGCACCAGCAATCTGCACAGTTGGAGCTGTTGTGCAACGCTTGGCAGATGGAGATGGACGCTGCAACGCAGGCATTGCCAGTTGTCGTATTGCGCGAAACAGTGATTATATTGATAATTGTGATTCATCTTGGATGCAGGCAGCTGCAGCGCGATGCCACGTGGGAGCATGATTCTGCAAGGTCTGCTGGTGACACTGGCAAACTGGGACAAGGACAACGACGACAAACGGAAGGAGCTTGGCTTGTGAGACGCGTCGAGAGGGGAGCCGGACATGGGTACGATGACTACCTACGGATACGACAAAGTCGCGATTATCGACTCAATCTCTTTATCCATTTTCATTGTGCATCCTTTTTTTTTTTCCTCCCTTTTACCATTTTCCAACTTGCACCCCCGGCCCACGCCCACGCCCGCCGCAAAGCCCAAATCCACGCCCCTTGCCTGTTCCCGTCGTTGGCTCTCTCTCAGTCTCCCCTCTTCCACCCTGTTGCCTATCCCCTAGTCACTAGTTAACTAACTAGTTCTCGCAGCTCCTGGCCACCTCTCTCTCCATTCTCGGGCTTTCGTCCCTGCTTGTGGAGTGGACTCGATCGTCCCAGCCAGTGAGCCAGCGACAGACGACGTTACCTTATTATTCTTTACACTCACCTACCGACTGATACTTGGTTCCACTGGCCGCCCACCACTCCCGAGTCCCAACACACTACTTACCTACCGGCCGCTAGGTCAAACTTTCAGGGCCGCCGTCGACGGAACATGGGAACCTAGCCAGCCAGCCTTGGGGAAATCTAATCATTATTAGAATTAGCCCAGTCTTGCACCCTCAACCGACGTCTGGTCTTGTCGTACCTGTCTGTTTGTTTTTGCCTGCCTGCCTGTCTTTACATTGCCCGTCTCGTCTTGCACAACGCCAGCGTCAATAGACTCGTCGTCGCCCGCCCACTTCGACCAGCGCTCTTAACTATTTACCAGTGCTCCCCCCCTTTGCCCCAATCTTGGGGGCGAATTGTGTCGCGCGCGCGTACAGGGCCAGTTACCAGTTTCCGCTCCTTCGGCTCAGACCAAGCTAGCAACTACATCGCAGCGCGACAACATAGCATGGTCTTGGCGTCTCAGGCGAACAACCACATCGGCTCTGTACAGTAGCCGCCCGAAGCGAATATAAAGACACAAGAAAGACTCTGTATCCAATCAGCAAAATACGTATCATAAACGGAAAAAGCTACAGCAGAAAAGCAATCACAACTTATGCAATCATCATGGTAAGTGCAAGACATGTTACGTATTTCCTGCTATTTATTGCCTCGATGGCCCCCAATCGCTCAACGCCCAACCTTGCCTCTCACCCCCTGCCCTATTTCCCGCCGTCAATGATGTTGGGCGGTTGTGGCCCTATTCAGCCCACTCTGGGGCATGTATTATCGAGGCCAGGCCGAAGCGAGAGGCCAAGCATATACGACGTTGGACCCAATTGCGCTGGCCGGACGAGACCAGGCCGCCGTTGAGGCGTAGCTGCAGACCAAACACAACAAGACACAACACATGGTTCCACGCTTGACGAAGCGCCATGCCCAAGCAGCGTCTTAGCAGTTATTACTTTGTATCGCCCAGCTGGGCCCGCTGAGCTGGCTGACGATGCCGGCAAGGCTGGGTAGTTATATAACCCTGCCCAGCCTGCCCTACGGCATTGACGCCATGTTTGTTACTGTCCGAGGCACCACACGACGCCTTACACACATCAGTCATCACAGCTGTCACACCATCGCCGCAGCCTACTTACTTTGAGCTGCCCTGGACTCGGTCGCCAGACCCCCCCCCCCCCCCCCCCTTGTCCGCTTTCCCGCTTCGGCCGCCCGCTCTCTGTTCGCGTTTGGCTACTCTTCGTTGGCGCTTCTGCATCTTTGTCTCTGGCCATTGTCTTGCCTGTTCAGCCTGCTTTGAAGATATTGACCCAACAAGAAAACAAAGGCTTGGTCAACTATTAAGACGGGCTCTTTCCCCTTTCTTGTCTTCTTCTTTTGTGCGAACCTCGCCTATCTCGGATCCTGCAGCTTGTACATGTTATATTAACATAGAGTCACGTTACACCAGATTCATGACATGTTGTTGGCAGCTTCATCTCCTCTTCTTCATCTCGGCTCTTGATATCGTTTCAATTATCCGCAGTCCCTACCGTTCGACCTCAGTAGCATAGCTTGTTGGCTTTTGCACTCTTCACATTTGCCATTATACCCTCTTGGCATCGGCTTCTTTAGACTCGACAAGTCCACCATCATTATCTCTTGTTGATACTCACTCATCTTTTAGACACAAACCGTCTGCTATCGCTTTATTGTCGACACAACTCCATCCATACACTCTGCCGTCTTGGACTCTGCCGTCTTTCGATAATCCTCAACAACCCTGTCGCGCTGGCTGATTGTACAATCAGTATTAGACAACCAGTCGTGGCGTGATTTGCGTGCCACAGAGGCCCAAACGACTCCTCAGTCGGGTCACTTTATTGGCGCGGTGCCGACGACAGTCGGACTGGCAAGGAACAGCTGATCATCGGCTCTTGTTGCCAAGCATTTTGGTACCACGCATACAAATTGCAGCAGAATAAACTCTCGTCACCATCCACAGCGGCACCCCCATTTTGAGACGCAACCAAAGTGGGTGCATATGCGGGTGCATTGCTGCAAGTGTGCGCAGCCAAACAGTTCAAGCAAGTTGAAAATCTCCACCGCCACATTGCCAGTTGTTCTGTAAGTAATAGCGGCAATCCAGCCATCCTCATTCCCTGGCTTCCCTGGCTTCCCTGGTTTCCCTGGCTTTCCTCGTCTTCCTCTTCTCCTGTGTTTGTCATTGGCCCCCCACCGCCTTACGCGCGTTTGCACTGCCCTTGCAGATTACCGAACTGCCATCTGCTATTAGCATATAATTTGGCCTTGCTGCGCCCAGCTGCTCCATATTCTTGCCTTGCCTGCATCTCCCCCTCCAAAATCTACCTCACACCACCATCTCGAAAAGTTTCCAACCTGCAGTCCGCTCACGGCTTACACTTGCTTCTTCCCTTTCTCCCATTCAAGGTCTTCTGATCTTCTGCTGCATGGTACCTCTACAAGAGACTACTGATGGCCATTGGTCACCATCATCTTTGCCCCATATTGCGGTGCAGATGCCTTCTGAGCCTTCCACAACCCACTTCGTGCAACCGTCAGGACCGAGGTTCCATTGCTTTACTCTCGACAAGACTCCCCACCATTGCCTCGTTGCCATCTCTTTTTCTTTAAAACGCTCCGCTATCCCCTGTAGGGATCTCGATATTCCGAATTGTCACGTAACTACTCATGTCGTCTTTGCTACACAGCTTGTCTATCCTTGCCTGGTACACGGTATTTCCGAGGGACCATCATCTGACGCTTGCTAATTCGCTTACAGGCCTTCATAACATCTAACAGCCTGGAATCAAATCTAGCTGGCGAATATCCTTTGCTGTTTTAGCTACCACCGTGTTAGCTGCAAATGAGCTTTGAGTGTCATCAGGAAACATATATACGAAAAAGACAGCCAAAAAAAAACATACCCATGGCGCTAAGAGATCTGTAAGTTTTATATTTGGCCGGGCTGTCTGACCATGTATGATAACCGATTGGTATAGCAGAGACGCGCCTGAATTCATCCAGGGCTTCTGGAAGCACACCCGATTCTACGGAGACTGGAGACGCGACAAGTACCAATTCCCCATTGACAAGGTACAACACTAGCTCCCGTTTGATAACAACAACAATAGCCGCAATTATCTAACTCTGAAAATAGGAAGAAACAAACCGATATGACATCTTCCACAAGTTCTTCCTGCTGGCTCGAAGAGAGCGCGTCTTTACACACCCCATCCCTCGACCCAACCCTCGTGTATTGGATCTTGGTACTGGAACCGGTATCTGGGCCATCAATGTAGCGGAAAAGTGAGTAGAGACGTGGCGGGTTTCCCTTTGCATAACCTGACAGGATGTCTAGCTACCTTAGAGATGGCCACATCATGGCGGTGGACCTCAACAAAATTCAGCCTCCTCTGTATGCCAATTTGCCCCAGCCTCTTCAAATTTATGTTCTTGGCTAATCTGATAATAGAATTCCTCGCAACGTGGAAACACTGCAGTTTGACCTCGAAGAACCGTCATGGGAGCCCCTTTTGAAAGACTGCGATTTAATACATATGAGGTTGTTGCTGGGGTCTATTCACAATAGTCTTTGGCCAAGTACCTATAGAAAAGCGTTTGAGTATGTCTTATCCATGGCTACGAAACTGGGGCCCAAGGTGGAATTGCTGACGTTGATAGACACACGATACCTGGCGGCTACATCGAGCAGGTTGAAATCAATTGGCTGCCCGATTGGCATGGAACCGACATCCCGGAGCATTCATTCTTGATGGAATGGGCGCAAAAGTACTTGCAAGGCATGGATGGCTTTCATCGCAGCGCAAGAGTGGACACGTCGAATGTCAAAGCTATGATGGAGGCAGCAGGCTACGTCAACTTTGAAGAGCGCCTCATTCGATGTTATGTGAATCCATGGAGTCGCAATGCCGAGGAAAGACGGGTAGCACAGTGGTTTAATCTTTGTCTGATTGACGGTGTGCAAGCCATGAGCCTGGCACCAATGATTGAGAACCTGGGCATGACCATTGAGCAAATCAATGAGCTTCAAGACGCTGTCAAATCAGAATGCTGCAAGCTACGCTACCACGCATTCTGTACCATGTAAGTGCATCTGTCGTATTGTGGGAGTATTTCCGAGGCTGACTGCTTTGACTAGGCACATCTGGACGGCGATGAGACCGACACGCTAGAGTCGATTCAAAACCTATCATTCGGGACTACGAATTTATGGTCTCGGTCGAACCGCCTTGAACTGGACTAGAGGCATAGCGTTTGCGACATTGGGCGGAGTTTATTTGGTAGAGAACTATCAATCTGGATTATGCAGGGCAAGAGAGGGCAGCAAGCCAGTGCTCAGTCACAGCAAGACGAAAATTATACTCTGCTTGCGTGTTTGTTTCATGTTTTATACTTTATTTTTTATTTTAAAAGAGGGGATCACTATTTATCCTTGTGCTTTCCTGACAGGTGGTCCTGATAAGAAATGATGTAAAAATCAGATGCTTAAAAGGGCCCTTTGTCCTAGACAAGGATGACCCCGGCGTTGAATATTAATACAATACAATATGGCTATTGACCCAGCACAATAGGAGGATGGTTTTGTGGATGCGACAGCACGCATTTCATTGGATGTCTGGCCCTTGGGTCGCGGTATGGCTGGGCTATTATTGGCTGGCGGAGATGGGCGTACCAGACTGCCGGGTCGCTCCCGTGGGTATTGGACACCACCTGATATCTAGCTCGGTTCCGCTTGTCGTGCGTGGCCTTCGACAAGTACAAAACGGGTTTCTGGGGACTCTCTGAAGCCCGTTATATGATGGGAACTCAAGATGACGGATCATTGGAGTGCATGCACCGATCAATGGTTGACATTTTGGGGGCCATCTCGATGGCGACGAGTTAGAGAATATCGGCGATAATAGACACATGGCGTTCGATGCAGGTATCATAGAAAAGGCATGACAATTCGGCGCACCTCGGAACAATATACGGCCTGGAAATTCAGCTCGATACTTGACTAGGCGCCTGACATCACCATGGCCTCTGACTATGCGTATCAGATATGCCTACTGAGAAGACGGCTGGGGGTAGAGCAGAGACTATTGATTCCAATGGACGAATTCTTTTGATTTTCATGGTTCTCCATGTGATTACTGTTGAAATCTAACGATGGGAGCGAAATAAACAAAAGAAAACCGGTCCTTTGACACGGGCGCAAAACGAGAAAAGTTTCCGGCGTGTAAGTCCAACTTGTGCGGGCAAAAGGCCCAGCTAGGACGGGAAACGGGGGGGGGGGCTTTATTTTGTCGAGTTTGGGCGGGTGCGCCCAAAAAAAACGACGAGGAAAAGCGAGACCGACCTTTTGCCAGGGTTCTGAACTCATCATGGGTCTTATTCGGGTCCAAAGTTTACTTACGAGATTTTTGATCAGATAGACACCTTTTGGGTTGGCCCTTGAATTCTGTTGGCTGCTCTGCATGAGCAACGAGGCAACCAGGCAGAACGGGGGCCAAGGGGTAACTATAACAAAACGGCCGGGGGAAGGTAGTAACTACCTACCTAGGTAGGGGAATGAGATGACGGCTTCTTTCTCTCCTGCGAGGCTTGATAAGCAACAGGTTGTACAGGGACTGTACAAGAGGCAAGATACTTTTTTTTTTTGTAAAAGAGTTTTTTGTTGTATTTGGTAGCCGTTCCCCCATGGCAGGCTTCTACTCTACTCGTTTGCGTTGCCTTTTTTGGTGCTTGCAGCTATGCCATCTGATGTACAATGATTCTTTTGTGATACAAAGGGAAATTGGGGTAAAGGGTAAAAGGAAAAAAAAAACAATAGATAGGAAGGAGACTTGGGGAGCGGCAAGTAAAGGATCCTTGTGCCGCATCTCCTCTATCCGGGTGCCCACCAACATTCGTCCCGTCATCCTCCAGCGATTTCTGGTCAATCCATCATGTTTTTCCGTGTCGAAAACAGTAGAAGACAACATTCAGCAGTCGGTGAGGTAGCAGGAAAGCAAGACGTAAGCTGGACAAACACATTGGCAAATGCCAGTCTCGTCATCCACTAGACTACTGCCACGCGCTCATCACAACGACCTCGTTTTCCTCGCTTTTCCCCTCCAGATTGCGGCATTGGGTGTCGTCGGTCCCGATTGTTGCGTGCGCTCGTGATTTTTAGTGGTGGGCAACCTCTCCGTGGTAGCCAACGAGCTTGAAGCGGCCGATAATCTCGCCGACGGTGAAGAAGCCGAGGCACTCGGCGAGGACGACGCCACCGGCGACGAGCTGGGGGGCGCCGAGGCCGCGGACCTGCTGAATGATGCTTTGCGGCGAGATGGAGCGGCTCTGCAGCCTCGTCCACAGGTTTTGGTAGGTGGTCTGGAAGGTGGCCATGGAGCTGTGACGAGCATGGTTAGCATTGGAGTATTCTAGTTGGTCCGACGACAAATCCCCATCTATTTGCGGATTCACACAAAATACGCAACGTCTCGCCACAGTTTTGATTTCGAAGGAAGAAAACACTTACGGAGGAGACATTTTCTGGCCCTGGAAGACGAGCTTGGCAAGCTCAAGGCCGACCTTGCCGTAGTAGGTAACGAGAGGAGTCTTGGCTGCATCGAACGGTTAGTTGTTGTTTGTTCATCAACCAACACCAATTGAACAGCAAAACATGGCGCCAAAGGCAGGCATTCAATCGCAGAAGCTGGCATGATGGGGGAGAAAAAACGCACCCTGAATGAAGTTGATCAGGCGACCGGTGCGGCCGCCAATCTTGCCGAGCGCATTGCCCACGCCACGGGCGGCGCCGGCAATGGCAGGGCCGGCGGCGCTGGTGACCTTGGATAGACCCTGTTGGGCCTTGGAAGCGGCATTGCCGGCGGTGCTCTCGTAGCGGCGGGCGGCCATGCGCATGGGAGCGCGGAGCATGGGACGGGCGAGAGAGGAAGACATTGTGTTGGCGTATGTGTTTTCGATCGGCTCAATGGGAGGTAGAATACGGAAGTAGAGAAGTCGTTATTTTTTTGTGTGTGTGGGAGGGGTTGGTCCGTTTTTGGTTTTGTATTGAAAGGCTTGATGGATGAAAACCAATTGATGCCGACGAATGCGCTCGGAAGAGGTGGGGAGGTCGCGACGTTGAATGGCGAGATGGAATTGGGGGAGAGGCTGGCTGGCAGTGAGGGAGAAAAAAAGAGCTCGGGAAGAATCGTTGCGGCTCCGCGGCCGTTCCTGGATTGGCGGCTGCTGATTGGCTAGTTTGGCGGAAAGTGACGCTAAGCTGTTTTTGGGGCGCGGAGTGGTGTGATTGATGGGCTTGGGGTGCGATCGGGACTTGTAATGTCTGATACGTATTAATCGTTCTCTGATGATTGGCTTTTGGAAGAAAGGTAATGCGACCTGTATATTGAACACGATGATGTGATCATAGAATACTTGATGCAATTCCTAATCTGAGAAAGGCAGTCCCATCTCAAACTTTCCGTGATCGCCAGAGTCACTCTGTGAATGGAAATGGCGGGTTCGGCGAATTTAGTAGGCCACCTAACAGTTCTGTGTGAGAGCTGTAGCAAGAAAACCCAGGCTCTCGAAACGCCATTATATATTAGAACGCCGTGTGAATTTCACTACCCTCTGAACGGACATAATATACTTTCGGGCTTGTTTTCTCGGCCCGAACAAAAACCCCTTGCCTTGGTATAAACATAGCATTACATAAAACGCGCCAAACGCCTCGCTGCAATTCCGTTACCCGCTTGCTCGACCTTTATTTCCTTGCCAGATAATCTATAAGTGTCACGTCAAAAGCAGCTTCATCCCGTTGGGCACCGATGGCGGCGAAATTGTTTCGCGGTCGATTTGTGTCTCAGACACGGGGGTTGCTGGCTCTTCCACTTTTATAGTGTCGCGGGTTGGTAATGTCACAGTAGATAGCGTAGGATGGAAATCATCGACGGTGGAATTCTTAACCAGAGTCTGGACATCGAGCTTCTTGCCAACAGACATATTCTTGCTCGTCTTGAAATTGTCCAACACATTCGCTCTAGGCGGGACTGCCTTGCTGCTCGGCTTGCTTTTGCGCGGGCGAGGCTTGAAATCCTTCAAAGGTTTGCGTGCGACATCCTTGCCAGTATTACCAAATACAAGTTTGGTTTGCTTGGGCGCCTTGACAGCTGCGAGCTTGGGACTGGCGTTTGGCGTTGGGATGGCCTGCGCATCCTCTATGGTGAGTTGTGGCGTGTCGATGATGCTGGTGTCTGAAGCGGGTGGTGTTGAGGTGAGAGCGACCTCGATGTTGGTATTGTTGTTGCCAAGCTCATCCTTGGGAACGAGATAGGCGTCGCCAATTTCGACACTCCAAGGCGGCAAAGCTGTGAGTCGGGCAACGTTATCGCACTCGGACTGCACCACCATGTCCCAGCAGTCCTTCAAGTCTATGCCCTTGGGTTCTGGTGACAGGTTAATCCAGGCGGTGAAACCGTCTTTCCTGCCTCGGGTGACCTGGCAAAGTTCCTTAACAAGTCTCCGTGTGCCAGGAACCTTGAGCGTGGTGCCGACAACTATAACCGCGTCTGGACGTGTGCGCAGGTCGGCACTGGACACGTTACCAATAGCCTCTTCGTCGGGATTGTATTCGTTATAGAGGACGAATCTGGGCCGTAGGCGGCCAATGCCATGACTGCGCTTGCCACCGTAAATAGTACGAATGGAGTCCTGTTCCGTGCAGGCCGCGCATAAAGGAGGCTCGGGTCCGTTGAAAAGTTCGGCTTTCAAAGGTGACAGTTCGGAGCATTTGGTGCAGACCATGTGCTGCAGGCCGCCGTGCAGCTGTATGGTCTTCGGCCAGGGGCCCTTGGGGTTAAGCGGTACCTTGGTTTCGAGAGGCTCCATTTGGGTATCGAGGCAATCGATATTTTGCGAGTAGAGTCGGAGAAGGCGACCCTCCTGTGCGAGAGAAGCCAGCATGTGGTGAAAAGGGGTGGGGACTGCCTTGGCAGACATGGCGGACATGTCGCGGACCATTTTATGGAAGGATTGAGTAGACGAGTCGTGTTTATACACGGATGCATCGAACAGGTGCTTGCCCGAGGACTTTACGTTGTACTGTTTCTTGGTGGTAGCGAAGAGACCATTGGAGGAGCGAAAGTCAGGGATGCCAGCCGAGACGGAAATGCCAGCACCGGCGACGACGACGATCTTCTTTTTCTTGTGAAGCACGGACAGCAGGCGGTCCATCTGTGCCGAGTCCTCCGACGTGAAGTCGCCATGCGATTTGGAAAGGTTGAGGTACTTGGTTGTGCGCTGCCTGGGGGTGGCCGGCTTGTGACGTTTGGAGGGGCGCTCGCTACCGTCGTCAGATTGGCTGGAGGAACGATCACCGCGCTTCACAGGGGTTTGCGTGCCAGACGCGTCGGCCGGAAGCGACTCGGGCGAGGGGTAGCGTCTGGCAGAGTTGCTCGGGCAGATGGGAGAATTGGGCAGCGATGGCGTTTTTGACAGGGCCGATAATGGCGAGGAAGGCGATTCCGAGGCCGCGCGTGGCGGCGTCGAGCGCGGGCTGCATGGTGATGACGATGATGATTGATATGCATCATTTGATGGCAAACTCATCAAAGGTTGTCGAGTCTCCATGGTGCCAATACGTGAGAGGACGGGGGCGTGAGTATGATGGAGAAAGGAAACCAGTGAACGAGCGTAGCGGGAAAGATGGGAAAGGAAGGCGCGAAAAGGACCAGAATACGCTAGATCATCGCGTGGCCTAGGAAGTGCGATTTGACAAGTGGCGTGCGGAGCGCTTCGAAATTGGCTACAGACTGCTCATCTGGCAGAAGCGAACGGTGTCGGTCGGCAAAGGGCTTCGAAAGCTCAGCGCGGATAGCAGGGCGAAGATCTTGGATTTCGGTGGGAAGATTTTGCCTAGACGTGGAAGATGGCAAAAAGCGACGGCAGGAATGATAAAATAAGTAGAACAAAGTTGAAAAAAAGCAAACAGGGCGCGCGAAACGGGGACGAGATCTATCCTGTGTTTTGGGGGTGTGGGATTCCACTTCTTTTTTTCGGGGACATGAACGAAAGAAAGCCAAAACTAAGGAGGGATTTTATTTGATTTGGTAATACACAAAAATACAGTACAAATTTCATGAATACCCGTATCCGGAATCAAATGTTGTAGCCCTTTGTATTGCTTTTATTTGGCGCCTGATGTTTCCGTGTGCCACTCTGTATTTAAAACAAGCCATGAACATCTGGCATGCGCATCGGCCAGTGGCCGAAGGCTGTAATTACTAACTCAATCAATGCACACAGAAATTTCTTAACTCTTCACTATTTTCTTCTTAGTCGCTTGACAAGCCAACATTTGTTATTACGGATACATGCATCAACTAGTGCTCCCGACCCTCTGCAACTCATCCGATGCTGGATACCCCCCTCATAAGAGACTGCAACTGCGCAAAAGCAGTGCCACGTACCTGTCTAGCCCGAAAATATTTACTCGAGATTGAGAAGAATGACCAGTTGGCAAGCTGGCAATGCAAGTCGGTGTACAGATTACAACCGCCCAGCACCCAGGCCGCCCGCAGACGCATTGGTCGCACTTTCAACAATGACATCAACGCTCTTGACTGAATGCTTTAGAGATATCCTATTTTCCCATGTTTCTATATACTGTTTGGCCGTCAAGTCTCTCTTCACGATAGCCTCCCTTGCGCCCAGGTCTTCGTGCACAACGCATGCAATATATGTGGTTGCTCGGATACGGTTAGGCCCCACATTATCGTGGGGTTACCGCTAAACTTACATGACGTCGCTGTCTGTTTTTAGCAGTCGGTGCCAAATGCCAGCGTACCTACAGATAAATAGGGTGTGGAGGCTTCTCCTGCACGTCCTGCTAGGCTGTTACTGGCCAGGCGACTCGGCAACAGGCTCTTTCTGTGGCCCCGCCATTCCCACCCAAATCTACCTAGGTGTGCTAGGTGCCTAGGTATGTAGGCCACTATGTACATAAGCCCTGGGGGGAAAAAAAACCTCGCCGATCCACACCATCAACTACCACATATTTATTAACACTATAATAGCCTTAAAATAAAAAATAATAATTATAAAAGAAATACTAAAATATAATAAAACTACTAAATAATCTATTTACTTAGCTTTTTTAATATATACTTATAATCTAATAAATATAAAATTAATATAAAATTAATAAAAAAAATTTAAAAATTTACTTATTTTTTAAATTAATTTATAAAATATAATAATATTTTAATTAAAAGTTTATAAGTTTATATTATAATATTATCTTAATTATTTTTAA